AATTCAAACACACATTTCTTCGTGCGGTTGATTTATTTACATAAACTGTGAGTAATCAACCAAGCCACAACTGCATGCGTCTTCCTCATCCCACTCGATCGTCGTACACCGCTTCTAGTTGTAAATCAATTTTAAAAATTTATTTCACAAAACTTAGACACTTATAATTAAACATTTCAAAATTATTAGCTGGAGTGCAATGCATTTATTATTGTACATGAACTGTATGGTGTTTTGTGTGTATGTGTATGTGTGGCTTATGAAGAAAATGACTACTATTTTCAGTCGGAAGCGGATTTATACAAAAATCATTATGATTAAATGGTTTCGGCATTTTTTCTCTGCGTGCGATTTTGTCGCAGAGACTTAAATCCCCCACAATGTACAGCTTTATTTTTAAGCAGTGATGGTTAAAGTTTGTACACATGCGTACACATTCAGCGCTCTACCCAAAGACAGAGTCACAGAGAAAGAGAGAGAGAGAGAATGGGCAAGGAATGTGATCAACGACAATGGCAAAAGCCGTTACCAAAGAATATGCCTGATGCTAACGGTAGAAAAAAAAGTACATCGACTAATTATGAGTGAGAAGGAGAGAGAGAGAGGGCGAGTGAAAGAAAGCTACTTTGTGGAAGAATAGGTATTGAAAAATTTAACATTTAGCTTTAATATATGTATACTGTGGCATTATTATTAACTCACGTTATGAAAAACGACATTTATTGTTCGTTAGACTCAAAAACTTGTTTCCTCTTGCCACCAGTTATTCCAGTTACACCATTTATCGTACTAGCTACAAGAATAAATAATAATAATAATAATAAATAAAAGCATTCATTAATTTGAAAGGTGATCCGTGTATAGTTTAAACTACGTTTGATGGGATTTTGTGCTGTACACACTGTGCTAAACAACTACACATACACACATTCAAAGCCATAAAATACAATGAATACGCTGGGGAATTGCAGTGAAACAAGCGCCATTCCATTAATCTTCATTCGAACTGCCATTCGAATGGTATGCAATATCGATTTTACAGTCAAATTTCATTTTAGTACTTGAAGAAATTGCTTGATTTTAACTTTTAATTCAATTGATTCCGGATGAATCGAATATTCTATGTAAAATATTGTCTTATAGTCGCAACGTCTTTGAATTGCCGTAATAAAAACGGATTCGAAATTTTGAGCTTAACACTGTGAAAAGCTTTTCTATTTATTTTCATTAGAAAGCTTTTCCACCAAATATATACCCCAAGTCTATCCAAGCAAAGCACTGCACGTCGAAGACATCGAAATTTCAGTGGAATACAGTACATGTACCGCCATCTTGTATCGACTTCCACAACCAGTCGCACTCAGGATCAAAACCATATTCAAATGTAACTGCTGAAGCTGTACATTCAAAGCTTTTCCGTGCTTTTTTCGCCGTTTTCCTTTTCTTTTTCCTTTCATTCACATGGATGAATTTGCACGAAGAAAAAAAAATCGAAATGATAATTAAACATTCATATTTAAGTTGAACATGTTGCCATCGAGTTTGGGTCTTACAATAATTACTGTCGATATTTTGAAATTGTGGTCGAGAACAAACGAAGAAATTCAACAATTATCGAACACGATTGGTATAAAATAATTGGAAATGGCAATGGGCCGGGGAGAGAAATCAAAAGAAAACGAACGTAGCAAGTAGTGGCATGTTCAAGTGGTAGCGTTAAACACAACTCGAAATCGAAATCAAATGAATGATTAAAAATGTGCTGCACGATGCTACATTTCCAAACATCGATTAAGCGAAAATGCTAAATTTTCAATGTGAAATCCATGTATGTGAGAGAGAAAGAGATAGAGAGATATTCGGAAAATACACCATTTAGGTTGCCGCCTGTTCGAAACGGTTTTACACAATGGCCCGCAGCGATTTGAACAATGAATTTTGCATTTTGAATTTCATGTGTTGCCGTTTAGTGAATTTTATGTAGAAGGTCATATATGCCGAAAATATTCAAACACTTGAGATCTTGTTTCATGAATACATGGCAAACAACAATTACAACGCCGACATGCCCGTTAGATGCGATACGACTGACAGGTTGAATTAATGCCGAGCATATCAACCGAACTAGTGCTAACCGTGGTTATATTCAAAATATGAAAAATTCATTGCATTTCGAAAGCTCGCATAAAATTGATGGATATTCTTTCATTTTTATTGTTTTTGCTTGTACAACCAAAATGTAGAGATTTAATTTGATGCAAAAACAATTTGAAATTCGAATTTTGATACATTTACGGTCATTTTATGCAACCTCTAATTGTTTTTCAAATCCCGCTTTGGATGTAGGCTTGAAATAATGGCTAATAACTTACGAGTTGCGGTTCAGATAATCTGATTTCAATTATTTATGCAATCATTTGTCTTGAGACGGTCGAATGTTCTGTGTTGTTGTTCCTTCCATTATCAATTGCTCAATTGAGAGACAGCTATAAGTTATTTTATCTAAATTGGTGTATCCTTTTTCATTTTTTTATTCTCAGATATTCAAGAAACAAATGGCTTACATGAGTAAAACATCATTTACGTATTCAACGAAGCATCGTCCATTCACAACGCAGCGGTCGGGACTTAAATTACAAATGAATATTAAATACGACAGCAAGAATGGTTGCCGAGCTAGAACCTAAAATCGTATCGAATCGAATGCATTCAAAATGATATTTGATTAACAAGAAAGCACACACACACACCCACACACACATACACATACACATACACATAAACAACAAGTGAGTATGTTAAAGAATTCAGTGGGTGAATGGGATATTTAAGTGTTATAGACTCTTTTTCCACACAGACCCCTAGCCAATTGATCACAACAACACCACTTTTAAATTCGGTATGTGTGATGAACAGCAGCAGCAGCAGCAATACAAAACGAGTCCGGACAGTTGCCCAAGGGCCGTTATGATTCATCAAGTGACGGTCACAACATCGCCAACTCTGCCAACCGTGCGAACGACCACAACAATCGTTTCGCCGGCATCGACCACATTTCAAACGCCATCAATAGCTGTAACGGCTAGCACGGGCGCCACATCGGCCATCACAACAAAACGTGCGACCGGAAAACGTGCCGCTAAAATCGAATTCGTGCGATTTGATTCCGTTGAAACGATTTTCAAGCAGAGCGATCATGACGACATTGTTCAGTGTGCCAAAATCAAAGACGAAATCAAAAGGTAAGTCATGCAAATGCAGTTTTTTTCTTTATCTGTGGATGGGGATGGAAGTATTTTTGAAACAATAAATAAACATTGTTTCATGAACAATGAATGGGAATTTCGAAGGTAAATCCATGTTATAAACAAATCAACGCAAGAAAAATGGCAAGATGACCCCGAACCGATTAGTCCTTTCAACTTGCTACACGATATATGTTGAACATGATTAAAGGAAAAGAGATTATAATTGGTTGCCAAGAGATTAGCATAGCATTCGTGATTCTTGTAATACTTGAACTTTGTGTTGGCATTTCGAGAGCAAGCGGTCGTCCATTCGTTCGTTTGAGTGAACCGTGTTTTGGTTTGTTGGATTCCCGTTCATCTAGAAAATGGTTGCACTTTGGGAACGGTTATGTAATGTCAAATGTAAACACATTGGACGGGGATCTGATACAAAATGTAATATTCAATAATCTCAAATTGAAGTGCATTTTCGTTTTGTGGATTGTTATTCTCATTTGGATGATGGTTTTTGCCACCATTACATGTTCACAGTTTACAGCCTCATTAATCGATCGCCTGTCCCGAGCAGCAAACGCTCAACACATGTGTTGCATGCGAGCACATCTTCGATATGCATACGCGCGCGTGTGTGTGTGTGAGTGAGTGTGTTTTTGGCCTTTCTCACCCCAAATCTCGAAAACTCTTCCATCCGAATGGTTTAAACATTTATCTTTCGTCATCGGTGTAATGTAATGTTGTGCCAATGGATGTTGGGTCCATTGTTATGGGCATGATGTGCTTAGAACTTAGCGAAACACATTGAGTGCTTTGCCATGAATATTTACGCCATCGATTTTTCAGCGAACGAAGGAGCGAGCGAGCGAACGACCGTGCAAATGATTGTGTCGTATATGTTGTGGGCCGAAAATTAATTTGATTTCTGATCGGAATTTTCCGTTCCTGTTCATTTGGCTGATTGCACAGCAGCACATTTATATATACACACACAACCAACAAAAACATACCACTAACGATGTTGGCCCGTTTAACGACCGAAAAAACATGGACAGAAAAATATGTGTGCTGATCTTTCCCTCGAGAATGTAAAATCAAGTCATTTTATTCAATTAATTATTTATTATCACTTGTTGGTTGGCTGCCCATAAAACGCGCTTATTCACAAACAAAATATCCGTGTCATATATGACGTGAACACTGTGTGTGTCGGTTGGCGTTTTGCTGATTTGTTGGTTTGCTTTGATATGCACATGTGACTTTTGTGTACAAGCTGACATGGATTGTGATAGGCGTTTAATTGAAAACTAATACAAGAGCAGCTTTGAATGGGTTTCTATTTGAAAAAAAGAAGTTGATAGTTTGAATCGAGTTGATTTTTCGTAATGTGACCAATTTTGGTTGTTGAATTGCTGATAATTATAATCCATCGAAGTGGATACGACAAGTTGAATTGTAAACGATTCAATTTTCGAATGTTTTACCGTTGGTATGTTTAATTCGTATTTCCACTCAAATCAAGCATTTCAACTCAAACAGCCATAGCAGCTGTGCGCGCGGCTTGAGCGAAATCACAATATTCCCGTATCTCGTTTGTGTTGAGTGCGACTATGAAGATGACGATTGTATGCGCTCCGCTTCCATCGAAGCACATACATTCTGAGTGAGAATATTTCGCAAATATGAATTTATCTACAAGTGTGAAACCGTACCGCTTCACTTTTGCACGAGTTCAGTTTATAAAAAGCCTCTGAACGCGATAGTCATGCTACACGATTTGCTTAGTGTGCGCATGTGGAAAGAAGAACGTTAAACCGAATTTCAAATTGTATCAAAGAATAAAAAAGAAAATTGTCATCATTTTTTTTTCTCTTTCGTTGGTGCGTGAAATAGTTTGTGTTTGCATAACGCTCATTCTGCGCTCGCGTTCGAATATTCTCAATTAAAATAAATCGCGAAATTTTTGCATCGTCCAGTTCAAAAAGAAAAGAAAAAAAGAATCAAACAAAAACAAAAACCAAATCGACCCGTGATACATTACACCGACAAATCAAATCTATAGAATAAAGTAATTGAAAATTCTAATGAACACACAAAACATCAGATGTCTGAAAGAGAAAATTAAATTGTTAACTGGTGCTTTGCATGTTCATCCATATCGTATCTTAACCATTTTGATGGATTCATATTACAAAATATTTGTCTACACACATTTGAAAAAAAAAAAATAAATAAAAAATCAAACGGCATCGGACAAAAAAACACACATATCTATAACGAAAAGATACAAATCATTTCTTTCTTTCGGAAAATTTTTATACATTTTTTTGTTGTTGTTGAATTGAGCGGCATGAGAAGGTATAAATGACGACGACAACAACAACGACGACGACTACCGTTCATTTGTCGCTGTATTTGAATGAGCAGTTGAGAAATTAAAAATAAATATTGGGAAAAATAAATGAATGCACAAGTTGTCCCAAGCGTCGATGTGATTGCGAATGCGGCGGCTGGTTGTTGTTATTCTGTTCTCTCCCTCTCTCTGCCTCTGTCTTTTTTTCCGCAATAATTCCTTCGTTCGTACTTTCGCCTCACGACGGCATTATCACTCCGTTGTTTTGAAAACTCAAACAAAGCCAACCACACTGAAAAATGCTGCAAGTTGTGAATAGTAGAAAAAATGGTTTAAATTAATAAAAAAAAAACCAAGCAACAACAGACCATCGGAAAGGAAGAGCGACAAGAAACAACAACAAGTATTTGTTCAAAAATTATTTGGTCGAGGATACGAGTGAGAATTGATTCACAGCTCATTTATTTATATGCGATAAAATAAATCGCAAAATTGGAAATGGACTAGAGAACTGTATTAGTGGCAACCTGTGGCGACTTAGAAAGTGTGACTTGTGTCCTTAATACGATTGCAGTGTGTGACACTTATCCATCACTGTCGTATTGTTTTTCGATTGAATGTTATTTCACATTGTGGAGATGATGACCACGACGACGACAACGATGATGGCAATGGTGAACGAATCAATTTTTTCATTTGCCAAATGGGAAAATTGTTCATAATAAAAACGAAGAAGAAGAGGGAAAGGGTGTTAAAGGCAGATAATTTCACATAAATGCACGCACATTTACATAATGATTTGACCGAATTTCGCTTATATTTTTTCCCTAACTTTCTTTGCCATTGCCGGATTCCATCATATTCTTCGCACCCCATATTCTTCGCATCCATTCAATTAGGTTGAGTGTCTCCAGCTCATTCACTCATTTCAATGAATTTAATTTATGGTGCGTTCACTACACTTCGTTAGACTAAAGGAATTTCGATCGGGGTGATGTGTACCAGAGTTCATGCGATTGAAAACCTATTTTCATTCGAACAATACCAAAAGAAAAAAAATCTCTATAAAATAAACACGAGTTTTCTTCGTTCCTTCTTTCACACAAACCATATGAGTGTTTGCCATATCGATTCTAGGAAAATCTGAATACATTTACACTACCTCTACTGAAACCGATGATTGACCTGACGATTAATCTTCACGATAAAAATAAACAAAGTTCAAACTGAGAAACTGAGTATTAAACCTCTAAAATTTCCATTTGTACTTCGGTTTCATTGGAATTTCGTATGTGCTATTGTGTTTTGTATCCATCAAAATGTTGCGATTTTCAATGGATCCGACTCCTGATGCGAACAAGTTAAATGTGAAAATAATTATTTCGATTCCAAAGGACAACACAACAAAGTGGAAGTGTTGAACTTGAAATGTGATTGATTTTATCTTTTCCAACACAAAGGATCAATTCTTTATTGAGGTGCTCAACTCAATGAGATTTTGGAAATGGTATTACTCGAGCGAAAAAGAGGATGATCAAAATGAATTTACACTAGAATGGCATGTAATAGAAAGAAGTGACAATTTCCATCGGTTTATGCGTGTCTGAGGATCCGATAAATTGAGTTTTTTTTATTTGTTATTATGGGGTTGTTGGCTATGTGTGTGATTTCTGGTTTAACTGACATGGTTTTTCGTGTGAAATCGCGTGATGTATATGTATTATAACACTGAACTTAAGAGAGCATACGCAAAACGCATAGAAAAACACACGCATACACCTAAGGCCACGCGTTGTTCTAATTCTACGTTCAAAACTGCTGTTCTGTTGGCTTTAAGATATTTCGTCCTGGATTGTGTATACCATATATATCAAAGGAGTGCAAATAAGACAAAACCACACTAGAACAGCGAGCGTCAGAAAACCAAACTACAAAAATAGCTATTGAAATAAAAAAAAAATTTACATACAAAACAAAAGCAGCAGCGAATCTTAGGTAACACAAAAATATGTACGAATAAAAAATGTATCCAACTGACGATATTTCATATTAAATGGCTATTGCCATACGTGCATCTATTATGATAAGCTTTATCAACATTGCTCATGCGATTTTCATGAGCCACCTACCCCATTTCGGAGCCTTAATTAAGGCAAAGAAAAAAAAACAAAATATATGCGTACATATTCACTCAAAAGACGTCTGCTCTAATTTATTCATGTGATAAAAGTTCTGTGTTTCGTGGAACTCAACCCAAAAATGTGAATGTCTCTTCCTCTTCATTAGCTTGCATATTTTCGTATTTCGGTTAGCATGCTTTTTTGATATGCGCAGCGGCAACAGTGCTCCTAAATCAATTTCAATACAATATTTAAAATATTGTGGAATTTTCAGCCAACTAAATATCCAACTTGGACGTACTCCCCCGTATGAAGCAATTTTTTTTGTTGTTTTGTGTTTGGACAAGAAAAAATGACTGAAGAAATGTGAAACAAATTTTATTACAAAAAAACAAATTCAATCACCATTTCCTTGAACACACAATGAAAGTAGGAAAATTTGTTTTTTTTTGTTCAGAAGAAGAAAAAAATCCGCATTCCATTAGTAAAAGAGCTTATTTTGTTGCGAGCACTTTTGAAATGGTCGTTTCACACAGAAACAGTATGCGTTCGTTTTGAATTGCTGAACGAAATTAATTTGTTCCTTTTCACATCTTCGCACTGTGTTTTCTTCTATTTAACGGTCAACTGTAACACAAAACGAAACTATTTAGCAACAGAGTGTCTCTATGTCATTTCTGCTTAAATAACATGTCGTTTTAGCAAGTGGTTTTACCATTCGTTTGTGTGGCTGTGAAAGTCATTGTGTGCTCTTCACCTGTTTTTCTATTGTCACGATCAACTTTGGCTTTGAGTTATGACTTCTGAATTGAATACACAAATTTTCGTTTTTTATCTCTCTGCTACAGTATCAAATACAAATATATACAAATCGCAGAAACAGTATTCAAGAAGAACAATGAACAAATGTCAATGTAATTATTAATGAAAATTTAGCGCATATATTGTTTCTTATCAATATTTTCATCGAATGAACGTGCTCCAGCTAGAACACTCCGATAAAATCGTCGTCAAGCAGCAAACGATATATTCTTTTTGCATGGATCGATACATATTTTTCCATTTCCGGACTCAATAGCATCGGCGAAGAATTTAAATTTTGACTTTGACATGATTTTCAATTCAAATTCATTCGTTGGAGTGACTCTTGTTCGACTGGAACAATGATAACATTTTCTTCTTAGTACACACATATACAAGAAATTTTTTGTTTGTTATTTTAGAACAAACAAATCTATTGTTTGCATATTTTAGGAGTTTTCTGCATTTTTCATTCTGTGAAATGCGTGCCTTAAGTAAGCAGGATTCACAAATAATTTTTTTCGGATTTCCCAACGGGAGACACTCGTAAAACGGTTTTATAATTGGAAAAAGCCAATTTTATTTTATTTCAAAAGGGTGATGGAATGAAAAAAAAAGGATTTCATTTGGTTAAACGTTTGAATCGGACATTCCGTTCTGCTGCATATCGAGCTCGGCTCTTGTATGCGCAGCCAGCTATTTATCGCAAGAATGGGATTTTTGTTTTGTTTATTTACCGTTATTTCCCAACAAGTATGCCTATATCAACGCATTGCCACTGTACATAGTTTATGTCCAATGTCCAATGTCCATGTACGAAATGTGCAGAGACAATGCAAAAAGGTAGGCAGATCTGTTTACAAACAACAAAATGTAAACAAAACAAAAATCCCCATAAATAATGTATTGACAATGTAAAACTAAATGGCGAACATTTTGCGTCTATTATGGATTATATACTATGTACAGTGGCAATGCATTGATATACGCAGACTTGTTGAGAAATAACGGTAAAAACAAAAATCTCATTCTTGCGATAAATAGCTGGCTGCGCATACAAGAGCCGAGCTCGATATGTAGCAGAATGGAATGTATGGTTTGAATAGTAGAGAAAATGTGTAGTTGAAAGTGTTATTAATGGCAGAATGTAGGGAAAAAAACGGTGAAAAACTATTTGTCGTTGGAGGCGCAAACCCTCAAAACTTGGTCCAACGACAAACAATCGCTTTGATCACACTCATACACATTTTTTGTTTCGTTCGCCGAAAGGTAATTTAGTGAATATCAAAACAGCATTCATTTTGTAAAGTCAATTGATTGTGAAAAAGCTGTTGTCGAAATAAAAAAAATCTATTTTTATGGCTGAATGATGCGGCCAAATTCGATAGATACAAAATGGACACATTTATTCTAATCATGAACGTTTTCCAACTAATTATTATTCGTAATATGTGTATATTCCACGTGTTTTCAACGAACGGTTCTGTTGAGTGTACCATTTGATTATTCATCTGATTTACACAGCAAAACGACTTAATTCATTCTGATTTCTCGCTCCACATACACATAAACGAAAAAAAACACAGTCTGAGTGAATAAATTAAACAAATTGTGGAATGAAGTAAAACGAACCAGTCGCTGTGCCTACTTCTATTTGTTCAACTCTAATTCTCTCATTGTTTGTATAAATTTTGGTGTTTTATTGTTGTTGCCATTCACCTTGTGCTCCATGCACTGTAAGTATGAGAGCGCAAAATTCATGATCAATGTTAAATGAATATCACGAATTATTTTCTGCTCCTTTCTGACACATCAGCTGACGTTTGACCAAAATTTGAGCAAATTCAATTGCGGGTGGTCTGTTTTCAAATAATAATAGTAAAAGGCAATATTGAATTAATAAGAAATGGCTATTTGATGACAATAAACTATTGAAATTGGCCAATTCCTTAAGGGTTTGTTTGCATGTCCGAGTTTATTCGTCAACAACCACAGCATCCTAGAGTAATATTTACATCAACATCAACAACAATAACAATAAAAGCAAAATATCACTTATTACATAATGATTCAATTGGGAACAACGACAAAATTGAGGGATGCGGGACCGATTCCAGGAGAAGAAAACTTTGCTTCTAAAATAAATTTAACCAGAAAAGTGTATGAATCAAATTATAATAATTATCCGATGAGTTTAAACATTGGCTATGGTGGCGATGTTGGTTTCGAGAAGACGTTGAAATCATCAGCGAAAATAGCGAAAAGTTTGAGCCACACGGGAGACAATAAAGACAAGAAATCGCGTCCCTAATAAAAATGAACATATAATTTATCATTGTGCCGTTGGGAGAGTGGCTAGAATTCAATTTCGTCGTCTTTCCTTTGCCGCTGTGCGCTTACTTACTTTCACTGCAACGATACGTATCGTGCGGGCACATTTTTTCTAATTCTTGGCTTTTCAATCAATTTGTGTCAATTTTTCGCTTCGAGAAACGACACGCTACCAACCAAAAGCTAAAGGTCATTTCGTTTACAAACGCACATACACAAACACCATGAACAATACTACCTGCACAACAATTTCATCGCCATATTTCCATTCTACGCGTTGTCATTTTGTCTTCAGTCTTTGTCCATGCTCCATTGCACGAGAAGCAACGAGTAATTTTTCATTTCCCGGGCTAACATTAGTCAAGTGCAATCCACATTGGGACGATATAAATAATTAACTGAATAAATAGGCAAACTTCTTGACTTTTATATGATTTTATGAATATGAAGAGAAAGAATGGAAGACAAAGCCGAATCAATGTTCAAAAGTTTTAGTGAGCGGTGTACTGTGTGTTGCTGTGTGTCACTTGAACGGGCACATAAACTGAATGAGACACAAAATGCCTTCATTCATAAAGACCAAGCCAAGTTGCTGCTCATTCTCAAGCCAATTCGATATGTACCGTCGTAATTTTTTACCATTTTTCCTCTCGACTCAATTGCAGGCGGTCGGTGAAATGTTGTTTTATTCATTACCTGTACTTTGGCTGTGTTCGTGACTATTATTCCGTTTCCACTTGACGCAGAAAAATCGTATTAAATACACCTTTTTTCGGTCTAATGCGATTTGTCTGTGTTTATTCATCTCATTGTATCTCTGTCTGGATTTATTTTCGTTATTCATTCATAATAAATGCAAAAATGAGGTGGCACCGACACGGCCATGCATCACAAACTCTTGCTGTTATTTGTGATGCTCGATTGTTTTGCGATTGCTATTCGTTTAGCGAATTACCTCCAAAGCCTAGATGTGTACGAGAGAAATTGAACGATGAACATTAAATGCTCTGACACTGTCCTGTTAACATCGCTCAATTCCTTCCGAAAGTAAAATCTGATTAAACTGAATATAGAAAACGAAAATCGGGAGATGAAGAGAGAGTGAGAGAGAGAGAGAGATGTAGAGAGCATAATCCAAGTCTTTTGGCCATTAACATTTTGGTAAATCCTTTTTTTCGGCCAACGTACAAAGTTATTGCACAACCAAATCTCAATCAAATTTACAAGAGAAAAAGAAAAAGATAGACAATCATTGTCTCCGTGGAATGAGAAAGAGAGAGGGAGAGAGAGCGAGATGGCCCAGAGAGCACTAAGATTCATTCTAAACTAATTAGGGATTTCATAACGTATCAATGACGTAATCACATTTGCACAGCTCATGTTAATCTCGTTCACAAGCAAATGGCCCCAAATCTCAAAATAACCAGATAAAAGAATTGCAACCGAATTGCGCGCACGCACCCAATTCATCCGAGCCACAAAACACAAAATGCAAATCTAGAGCATTCACTTTATGTAACCAATAAGCCATCGGCTAAAGTATTAAATTCGGTGAGCACAGTCAAGAAATAGACATGGAGGCAAAGAGTGAGTGTGAGAGAGAGGGAGATAGGGCAAGAGCAAAAAGGCTATCAAAATGAAAAATACTGCAAACGGAAGAGAAAGAAACCATACGCGAAAGGCACTAGAGATATGAAATGTGCTATCACATCGCCAGCCAGCCAACCCATGCCATATTCTATCCTCATGCCTGCTGCAATTTTTCGTGTTGTTGTTGTTCTTTTTATTTATCTCTTATATTATTTTCCGTGTGTGTAATATGTGATCGTTCCACCGAGGCGCAAGTGAATGCACAGTGCACATACAAGTACACAGGGCAATTTTTTTTTGGTCTTCACAATCTTGTCATGCCAACGAAATATGATAATGTTTTACACAGTCAGTATCAGCGCGTACGCTGCCAATTCTTGCTCTCAGCTCTTTTTTAAAACTTTTTGATATTCTTTAATATTTGCTGTGTACTGTTCCTCCCCTCAGCCATGTATCTATTTACACACCTTGTCTCATTTCTTTGTTACTGTTGTTTTTTCTGTGCGGCTGCCTTCTCTTGCAATTCTTGGCAATGTTATCGTGACATTCGCAACACATCAACGTCATTGAATTTAATTTGTACGCGAATTTTATTTGTTTTTCTTATTTTCCTTTGGATCGAATGACTGGGTTTTTTTTAGCTCGTGTGTGGACAAATAATAACGGTTATAATATCTAAATGTGAATCCAAAGGAAAGAAAAAGTTTAGAAACGAAAAGTGTTATGTCGAAAAACAATTCTATCGAACGGATCGATAGGTCCGTGTGTGTGTGTGTGTGTGTGAGTGTAAGTGCAAATAAAAAGTAGAATTTCAAATAAGCTAAAATAACCGACAATCGAAATTAAAACAGCCGCACCGCAGATCTCGCCTGTAATACACACACTGACGAAGGGCATGACAGCAAAAAGATAAACAAACAATTTATGTAAAAGAAAATACTAGAAAAAAGCACATTAGTTACACCATTGCGTGCAAGACGGTGGAGCATCTCAACATACTCTCACTCTGACATTCATAACAAAAGAATGAGCACTTTGAATAAATGAGCTCAAAAGAAACAGAAGCGACAGAAGCAGCAGCAGCAGCACCATTACCACCATCACTACCACCACTACCACCACCACCACCGCCACCAACATCAGCTATGAACCGTATAGTGAATATTGTAGATATCCAGGCGAGAGAAAAAACCTCATTAAAATAACAACATCCAAATAAATTATCGTTTGCATATGTCTATATGTCTCTGTGCTCTGCTATCCCACTGATACAACTACACATTGGTGGAATTTCGTTGCAAACGCGCCAAAACTGTGAATCAATAATCCAAAGAGAGCAGGCGAGCAAACGTGCCCGCAGGAAAGAGAGAGAGAGAGAGAGAGAGAGAGAGAGAGAGAGCGAGGATAATCGAAGCCACTTAGCACAGATACACATCACAAAACAACGAAAGAACGAATGAAAGAAAAAAAAACACAGCGATTCCAGTTTATAAACCGATCACCAGCCTCGAAAATTGACAAACACATTCATATAAAATAGACTCCGATAAAAGCGACTAACAAGCGCATCCCCAGCACATTAACAGGTACACAAAAACTAATAAACAGCACATGAAAAACAGAAGATAAGATAAAATTCAACATGAAATAAAGAAGAAAAGGAGCGTGCCAGAAAAGAATCACCAAAAAAAGAAACAGCGGCAGCTGAACGAGGGAGAGAGAGAGAGAGAGAAAAGTCGACGACATAAAAACACAACAGCAACCGCTCCGATCAAAGCAGATAGCAAAATTATCTCACGATACTCCGAAAAAAAAAAAAAAATAAGCAGCAGCCGTAGGAGAAGAAAAAGAAGCAACTCATAGTCTTGCAGCGGTATTTCGGATAAAACTGAAATTCACTTCGTTGACTAAACATTGACTCTCTCTCAAAACCTCGCACCGATATAATACTCACGTGTTAGCGCGCACGTTGCAAACAAAACGGAGGGGCGCGCAAACGCGCGGAAAATCCACAAGTTGATCAAATTTTGGGTGCAAGCATTCTTTATCCAGTGTATTTGTGCTTTGTTCGTTGGCTGTGAGTGTGGTGTATGTGTGTGTGTATTCGTGGCAGCGCGCGCGTTCCAGTACGTCACCTTTCTCAAGCATCTCACTTCGGTGTCATCACTTTTGGTGAGCCGTCGCGCATCATCACAACGTAATTCAAGCACAATAAAGGTATTTCACATTTTCATAATTTCTTTCTTTTGTTTTCAATTTTTACTCTTCGTCTCTTCTTTTGATGTTTCTGTTTTCATTCTTTTCGTTTGCGTTGTGCGTGTGTTGTGAATGTACGTAGAAAAAGGAATAGACATGAAAAGTTTGCGAGGAGATCAAAAACACATCTCATTTTACCGATTTTGATTCGCATTTTATGCATGCCGACTGTTCTTTTCTCTTTTCTCGCCCAAATGAACTTGACGCAAATGGGAATTTGCTTGTGAATAATCGCACACATACTCGCATATATACTCATATGTACATTTCCCTTATGCATGCACTTTTGGATGCTTTGAAATTCAAGACATGATTCCCCTCAATAACAACGGTATATATACTTATACACATATCGTATGAAAACTTTGCTTTGAATTTTCCGCATTAATTACGCATTTAGATAGATTTGTGGGATAGAAAAGATCACTTTGCACGGTGTTTGGATACAATTGCTGATGCCTGAACCAATGTGATGTATGTGAATTATTGGTTTTAAGTACACTTGACTAGCATTGATTTATTAATACGATACCACATGCCTTGAGAATGACCTTTTTTGTGTGTACGTGCTGTGTGTGTCTGTTTTCATATGATACGCAAGCATCATACCCATCAAGCGCCTACGAATTGCATCGTTCACAAGTGATCATCTCCGTCATACATCGCCATTGCTTTGAAGAATTGCGCTAAAATTCATCAGCTCTTTGTTTATCCTATAAACTAAACACTGTAGCACTGAAAACAACATTGTGATTTGAAAGATTCAATTTCAAAAGGTCTCTCTCTTCTTCTCATATTCATGACAGAACGGTTGACGCGATATCTATCTGAACAGTGCGCGCACGGCTGGTGAGGGAAATTCGATAGTAAATCCGCATAACAATAGCTTTCACTTCGATCATCGAGAATGAGGAGAAAGAGAGAAAGCATACCCTTTTCTGCACCCATTGTTTATCTCAGTGAATTGGTTTTAACATGTATTGAAAATTGCGCATTGCCATTGCTCAAACCCTCCGCATATCCATCAGCAAATTGCTGCAATCACAGTTTTCTACATACGCTTGATTGCATTTCATCATTTCGGTTGTCGGCAGTTGGGTGTATAAACAAACAAAAAATAACATTCAATTATTTTGATGGCAAATATTCTGCACCATTTTAAATCATACACTTCGTATATTTTTCGGTTCGATATTAATTAAATGATCATAACATTTTATCGACTCGACAGAAAAACTTTCTTTTTTTTCTCCCTCTAATATCGTTATCCCTCGCATCATTACGTTGTAAAAAGATGAAAAGCACTCTTGAACTACGAAGAAAACTATTTGATAACGAAAAGTTTAGAAACGTGAACGAAAAAAGTCACAAAGAGAAAATGAGAAAAAGAATAAAACGAAAACCGAATGATGAAATGAGTGTGACGAAAATAATGCATATTTTTGCTACTCAACTTCGAGAATCGAGCAATTGAGGGAAAACGTGGAACGGCGTTGAATGTCGACGAAAAATTGCTCAAAATGAGGAAAATGATGACGTTATCAACGTCGCGAGAGAGAGAGAGAGAGAGAGAGAGAGAGAGAGAGAGAGAGAGAGAGGCAAACAGAGAGAGTAAGAGAAAATTATTGGGTCAATGAGCACTATTCAGTCCGTGATATTTTATAATGTTCTGTAGCATTTGAATACGTCTTTTATACCAACGCCGCACGCTACGTATTCGATTCGTGATTGCCGTCGTTGTCGCTTCTACGTGCCGACAAACAAACAACCATTTTCCATATGTGTATGTGTGTCTAAATATTTGAGAGATAAAAACACCAAGTCAAAATAACCTACGATAGTGAGATGCGTGTTAGATGGTTTTTTGCGTGCTTGTTAAATGCGAAAGAGCAAGAAAACGAGCGGAAAAACACATGCACAACACAAAACACTTTACAGTTCCCTATTGTATGTGACAATATCTTGCGATGAAAATACTATTTTATGATGCCAAGTGAGAGGCAGAAAGAGAAAAAAGAAAACGAATGCTACAAGTAGTAAGTTTTTATTTGTGCGAACCGACCGACAAATAAGTATGTGTGTGTGTGTGTGCTGAACAAGTAGACTTTAAAACGTAGCAAAAATATAAAGACATTCCTAAGCCATTCACATGTTCCCCACGAAAGTCAGTGCCTAATGATTCTAAAAAAAACCGTCGTTTCATTTTATATTTTGCTTCATTTTAGTACGATAAATCGTGGAGCGCACACGAGTCTGAGCCGAGACAAACGTTATTACAGAGCCGTAAAATACGTCTTTCATTGAATTGAAAAGAGAGTCATTTCACCTGACGAACGTAATCGAATTTTTGTCAAATCAGCTCGAAAGCACAATGGTACACCGGAAGAGAAGCGACAGAGGGACCTATATGTTCATATTTATAGGATGTAACACGCCAAGTCATTTCAGATTTTCCACTTAATCGTTGTGGATTAAATTAACCTTTTATTAAATGCTTGATATATCCCTCATAAAAATCTATTAGCGACAAAATTGCAATCACACATAAGGCTTCATTCGAATTTAGTCGGCTGGTTATTCGTATTCAAAATCTCTTTCTCTATCCATCTATCACCATCTTACTCTCTTCGTTCGCATTAGCAAATGTCGCGTCATAAATCAATGAATAGTTGTGATGCGCCTAAAGAAAATGCCTTTTAAATACCGGCACATATATACATTGACAGAATTTAAACAATGGCACGGGTCTGATGTGAATGACGAGCATAGCACCGTCATGTACAGCCAATGGAAACGGAGACAATAATTTTTAATTCAATTTAATCAGATTTCCTGACAAACATTCCTCGATCAATTTGTCAAAGTTCTAATGACTACACACAAAACGCGCCAATAAAACAACAACATAACACCACCAAACTACAGGCGCCTAAATGAATTGAATATTAGACCATGGTGATGATAAAGAAGTCGACGGCGATGACAGCAACGACGATGGTGCGTTCACTCATCCAATTCAGTTCATTGGTATTGGCATAGACTTCAACATTTATTGCGAATCGGCTCATTCAAATGATCTGGAAAATGAAAAGAAAAACATTAAGGGTTTGTATGCGCCAGCATTCTGAATTTATATATTATAATCGATGAAAATGGCAAGCAACAATAAAAGCAGCTAAACAATTGACATCAATCTCTTTTATAAGAACTCAGTCACACACAGAGAGAGAAACAGCGAATGGAAATTTTCTATAAATATTTAAAATCATTTTCAACCTTTCAATCAAATGAAGATTTGACTAAAAAAACGGAAATATAGCGCATATAATTTCCAGAATGTTCCGCATTAATCCAATGTTGAAAAGTCAATTGAAATTTGGTACATGAATCGCAGTGCAAATAAAAGGTTCCATATTTGCACCCCCTCGAAAAAGTCCTTTACGCACAATTAATTCCATAATGTTGACAACCACATCAAACTTTATGATTGATTTCACGTTATAAGTCAAAATGAATTTCTTTAGATTATAAACTCAATACATTTCTAGTGCACACAGCACACGAAATAGTGGATTTTCATTTGTAGTTCAACTAAGTTTCAATGGCAAAGAGAAAATTTCAATTGAGAAGTGACTTCCTTTCTACTTCTTGCTCTCTCTCTCTCATGGCATTTTCTCAATTTTCAATGGAAACCGAAGAAGCACAAATAGCGATTGTAGGCGAAGAAATAGCCAGAATAGAGCGAGAGAAACCGGATTAAAGAAATAAAAAAACTTAAAAGGGAATGAATCGTCGACATCTGTTTGCAATTGTTCGACAGGCAAAAATATATGCGATCTTTTTGATTTCGGCTTTGAAAAATGGGAAAGTTTGTAATTTAATTTCTTCTTTTTTTTTGGGTCTATTTGGTTATTTTTCGTTTTAGGGTTTTATTTGATTTTCATCCTCTGTTGCTGTGTATAATGCTCTACATTGGATTCAATATATTCGAAGTCCATCGTGAGGAGTTCAGTGAAAAACCCCGTACATTTTTCGAAACTTCTTTTTATCGTTTTCTTTTTGCATTTCATGTGACATGAGATTTACTTTTTTTTATATCAGCATGTATCACTCAAACTAAATATACCTGAAAATGAAGAAAATTCGAAGAGCTTCATTTTCATGCTTCAAAGCGGTACGGATGTGTGAACCAATAAAATGTACGTGAGTTTGTTTCATTTTTTTGTGACGGATTGTAACATTAGTACTCTCATGCGCTAATAAATTATTAATTGTCGCACAGGCGAGTTCGGACACATTTGTCCATTCAGTTTCAGTTGTATGTGTCAAATGTCTTTTCAAATACATGACAATCTTTATGTACATCGTTTGATGGATTTCATTCGGATTTACCGTTTAGGGCAAATTGAACGGTTGAGATTTGTCATCAAATGCGACAACATAATACGAATGGCTAATATTTCACGAAACAAATGATTTTGATCTTCATTCTAAACCTTCATGATTTAGTTGTGCCCCCAATGGTAGCCTGACACGATTTCAAATCGATTTATTTACATAGGACATGGTCTATTTTCTTGATCGAGAGATAAATAAATGAATTAAAGTTGCATAACCTGAATAATATTAACGTCTTCTATGAATATAAAATTAAATTTATGTGAAAAGGTATCGTGAAGTAAACAACATCAAGTTGGCTCGTAAATAGCAACATTTTGGTATGCCAGATATTTCCAGAAAAGCAATGAAAATGCCACTCATAATTTTCAAGACCATTTTTTTACAGATGCATCACTTTATTCTCTATTTCTCTCTCTCGCTCGGTCTCTTTACTTAAAGATCGTGCCAAAGAGAGAAATGAACGTATATTTCTAATGCTGTGCGGTTTTGACGATTATAAGCTCCAATGGAGCTTGCAAGAAATCAAGCAAATTTGCAAGACGCAATCGAATGAGTGTCAT